CATATTTAAATAATCAAGTACATTGTGGACATTTGAGTGGCAGAATATACAGAAAGAAGAGCACTGGACAAGGGACATGGGTGTATTTATATTCCTGTCCCATTAGCACTATCCCTGCCTCTATGTAAATCATGTACCTCCTGTCAGCTTCATTTTTTTCAATAGGAAAATAGGGACGATAATTTTGTTCTGTAGTTTATATCATATTTATGTGAACATCAAATGAAATAATAAATACTTTAGAAATTATTAAACATCCTGCCAATGTCAAGTATTATTGAGCTGAATCTAACCATAATAAAACATCAACATCCATAATTAGACAAAATTAATGTAGACAAATTAGTTTTTTTAGCTTCATTGTCTATTAGATCAAAGATATAACAATTTTCCTTTATAATCTTCCTTTTATCAATGGAGACAATGAAACTTCTTGTTTCCTGAGAAGCAGCAAATAGTAATGAATAGGCAGCATATCTAAACCTTTGGGACCCTGTGATCTAAATCATATTTTTGTTATTTATAAACTTTATAACGTAGGGCAGATCTCTTGCATGCTCTTTACCTGTGTTTCATCACCTCTCAAATAATGGAGGTTATTAGTTTCCTTCCAGTTTTATAAACTTACATGGACATTCCTTTAAATCATCACCTTAGTTCTCCCTAGACAGTTGTAACCTTTCCTTTTCACAAATATTTATATAGTATGTGTTATTGTACCTGGCTTGTGTCCTGCAGTGGGAGCCCTTACAGAGGAAGAGATGTTCTTAAATATCAATATTAAGTTCTTAATTACAAAGCTTAATATCCTGTAAGGAAGAAATGTCAGAGTGGTACTTATGATTTGTTTTCTAATGCATTCAACCCTTGTTATTTTTATTATTGAATCAATGTATTTTTCTTTCAAAGACAGTGTTTTCTCCCCAAAGAGACTTTATTTGAAGTTTGGAAGGCCCAAGTTTTTACTATATTTATTATAAAAACTTGCTTAAATCTATATCAATTAAACAAAATAGCACTTTTCAGATGCTTTCATTGTTGGTAAGACTGATGAGCCAATATGCTTGGCATGTTCACTTAATAGCATCTTTTAGACACACACAACCTTGATTTATTTTTATCTCAATGATAGACACACACAACCTTGATTTATTTTTATCTCAATGAGGAATGATAAAAATGGCAAGACACAGGGGTAAAAATATAACCCAGATACTCTTAGTTATCACATTTAAACTTCTGTTTTGGTAAGAGAAATAAAGATTCAATACGCTACTCTTGAAAGATGGTCAGTTATTTGTCTAATAATTATGGTGATTGTTGATTAATTAGTCCTTTTGCTTTTCTTGTTCTTCCTTTTTTTGGTCTATTTTGAGCATATCTAATTTACCAGGTAATAAGAGAAATACAAAAGCAAATTTAGTTGATTATACTTCTTGCCCATCTTCTTGGTAAAAGAACCATTTGTGGTTAAAATCAGGATTTAATTTTTTTATTAGAAATAATATTCTAGGGCCTCTCTGGTGGCGCAGCGGTTGAGCGCTGGGTTGCGAAGCTGCCCGCAGCCTCTGTCTGCAGCGCCGATTCGATCCCCGGCTGCTCCCCGGCCACCGGAGGAGGGTCCCACGTGGCGCACAGACCTCTCCTGCCGCCCGCTGCTCCCCTCAGCAGTGTACTTCGGTCCTTCTGCCTGCTCTGCTCCCCGCTCTGGCTCTGGTGAATTCTCTCACCCTCCCGCGCTTCTGACTGTACCCAGTGCTTGTATAAATAAATAAATAAAAATAAATCTTTAAAAAAAAAAAGAAAAGAAATAATATTCTATTCACATACAAAATGATAAAAGCAAAACTTCATATTCTCCATTCTTTTCTTTAAATATACAAGATTGCAGTTAGTAATTTGAATTCTTCCAAACTCTTTTCTATGTATTTGTCCATCTATGATATCTGCAAACCTATAGCATATTGTTATGCTATTGATATGGCATTCTCAAATTTTCCTTTTTTAATTGAATAATATATCTTGGAGATTTTCAGTGCAAAATTATCTTCTCTTTAATAGTTGCATATTATTCCATAGCACCATGTGCATTATGGCTTATTCTTTCTTACTCTTCTTGAGAGTTATTTAGGTTTTTCTAACTTTTTTTTAATATGACAGTGTTTCAATAAATACTCTTTACATGATATTTCCAGCATATATGATTCACCATACATGTGGAACTAGAATGGTTGAGTTGAAGAGTATGTGTGTTTTAAATTTGTAGATACTACTAAATCATCTTAAAATGAGTATATATTCCCATCACCAGTGGGACATATTTTGGAAATATAATAGGCATAAATCCAATTAAAAACTTTTTGTATTAAAAAGCTTTTCAGTTTAATTTGTCATTTGTATTTGGCTGTAGTGATCTTCTTATGATTTTGTTTATATTATGTTATTTGTATTATTTTATATTTAACCCTTTCACATATCCCTGTGTTGATTGGCTTATTGTTTTATTTTATTTTATTTTTTATTATTTTTAAAATAAATTTTATTTTTATATTCCCCATACAATTGCAACCCCCTTATTTTGACCCCAATCCCTCCCCTCCCGCCACTTACCCCCCATAGAGTGTCTCTGGTTCATAGTTTTTGTTGATTTTGGTTTTCACTTTCTTATAGTTATTCATTTTCCTGGTCCCTTATTTAAGTTTTCTAGATTCCTGCTATGAGACCATCCAGTATTTTTCTTTTTCTTTTTGGCTTATTTTGCTGAGCATGATCCCTTCCAGCTCCATCCATGTTGCTGCAAATTGCATGTGTTTATCTTTTTTGAATGCTGAGTAATATTCCATGGTGTATATGTACCACATCTTCTTGATCCAGTCATCTATTTTTGGGCATTTGGGTTGTTTCCAAAGCTTAGCTATTGTAAACAGTGCTGCTATAAACATAGGGGTGCAGGTGCTCTTTGGAATTGATGTTTCTGTGTCCTTTGGGTAAATACCTAGGAGTGGAATTGCTGGATCATATGGAAGCTCTATGTTTAGTAGGTCCAGATATTGTTTGATTTTAATTTGCAAAACTTGGATGTAATTTTTTTTTTTTTAGATTTATTTATTTATTTATTTATTTATTTATTTAGACAAGCACTGGGTACAGTCAGAAGCATGGGAGGGTGAGAGAATTCACCAGAGCCAGAGCGGGGAACAGAACAGGCAGACTGATGAAATACACTGCGGAGGGGAGCAGCGGGTGGCAGGAGAGGTCTGTGTGCCATGTGGGACCCTCGCTGGCAGCCAGGGATCGAACAGGCGCTACAGAGGCTGCGGGCAGCTTCCAGCCCAGTGCTCAACCACTGTGCCACCAGGGAAGGCCCTTGGATGTAATTTTTTGTACTCCATGATGCCAGCATTCTCCTCCAATCTGTTGCTTGGTGCTGAACTGTGTTATTTTTGTTGTATATATTCAAGTGTTTAAAATTCTTTTTTTTTTTTTTTTTTTTCAAATATTAAATTTTATTTTTATATTCCCCCATACAATTGCAAACGCCCCATTCTGACCCCAATCCTTCCCCTCCCGCCCCCCACCCCCCAAAAAGTGTCTCTGGTTCATAGTTTTTGTTGATTTTGATTTTCACTTTCTTATATTCATTTTCCTGGTCCCTTATTTAAGTTTTCTAGATTCCTGCTATGAGTGAGACCATCCGGTATTTTTCTTTTTCTTTTTGGCTTATTTCGCTGAGCATGATCCCTTCCAGTGCCATCCATGTTGCTGCAAATTGCATGTGTTTATCTTTTTTGAATGCTGAGTAATGTTCCATGGTATATATGTACCACATCTTCTTGATCCAGTCATCTATTTTTGGGCATTTGGGTTGTTTCCAAAGCTTAGCTATTGTAAACAGTGCTGCTATAAACATAGGAGTGCAGGTGCTCTTTGGAATTGATGTTTCTGTGTCCTTTGGGTAAATACCTAGGAGTGGAATTGCTGGATCATATGGAAGCTCTATGTTTAGTAGGTCCAGATATTGTTTGATTTTAATTTGCAAAACTTGGATGTAATTTTTTTTTTTTAGATTTATTTATTTATTTATTTATTTATTTATTTATTTATTTAGACAAGCACTGGGTACAGTCAGAAGCATGGGAGGGTGAGAGAATTCACCAGAGCCAGAGCGGGGAACAGAACAGGCAGACTGATGAAATACACTGCGGAGGGGAGCAGCGGGTGGCAGGAGAGGTCTGTGTGCCATGTGGGACCCTCGCTGGCAGCCAGGGATCGAACAGGTGCTACAGAGGCTGCGGGCAGCTTCCAGCCCAGTGCTCAACCACTGTGCCACCAGGGAAGGCCCTTGGATGTAATTTTTTGTACTCCATGATGCCAGCATTCTCCTCCAATCTGTTGCTTGGTGCTGAACTGTGTTATTTTTGTTGTATATATTCAAGTGTTTAAAATTCTTAATGTAGTTTGGAATCTACTATTTTTTTTTCTCTTTACCTTCTGTATTTTATGTTTTGCATAACATCTTCCTTTTCTCATGGAGCAACTATCTTTCAAATAGCTGATTGAGCAATAACTGCACATATATTAAGCATTTATCTTATCTCCATAAAGATCATGCAGGTTTTCCATTAAAAGAGACCGTTTCTCTTACATAACATGACTTTTGACATAATCCTTTCAGCAAGATGCTTCTTTGCAATGTAATCATAATAAGGTAAATGTTAAATAACATCTGGTATGTTTGACCTCAAACATGAACTTGAATAATTTGTGTAGATTAAACAAGTCCTGTAGCTGTACTCCAAACCTGCCCTTTGAATTGTTAACCAAAGTGCTCCTGTATTTGCATTTTTTCTCAGTCCCTCCATACTGATTTTAAATGCCAGGACATTTAAACACAATTAAATAAAAGTCACAGGCAGAAGATGATTTTAATTCCCATTGTTTAACAAAATAATATGCTTTAGGTGAAGAAATGAAAAATATAAACTTAATTTTTGTTTCAGTTTTGTCAAAGCAACGTGCTTCTCAAGTCCTGGTTAGGAAACGCCGTGCAAACTCACTATTTGAAGAAACCAAAAAGGGCAACCTTGAAAGAGAATGTATTGAAGAACTGTGCAACAAAGAAGAAGCCAGGGAGGTCTTTGAAAATGACCCCGAAACGGTAAGAATTTTTGAAAACTACTAAGTGAGCATATTTAGACATGCAATTACCTGCAGAACATTTCCAGCCTGAGTGTCTTCACCTGCGTTCCTTTTTAAAGTTAATGACTGTGTGTGTCATCTTCCACATGTAACCTCCCAAGCATTTCAAGAGGAAATACCTTCACAGTAAGGTGGGCTTGTTAGGAAGATGCTACTGCCAAAAGCAAAGTGTTTTGACCAAATTATAATTCCATTGTATCTCATTATCCACAAATAGTATTGACTTCATGGCTTGTAAATATATTTTCCCAACCAGAATTTGGTAGTGATTGGTCATCTCAAATATAGTGTTTGTGTGTGTGTGTGTGTGTGTGTGTGTGTGTGTGTGAGAGAGAGAGAGAGAGAGAGAGAGAGAGAGAAATAGTGATTGCATTATCATCACTGTGCTTCATTAAATTTATACATTGATATTTTTATCTAGATTTTAATAAACAGGATCCTCTAATCCAGAACTTGGTGCTTAATAAGTGTTCAGTGAATTCCGGGTGAAGTGGTCATTGCAGCACTATGTTCCATGAGTATACATCATTCTATAAACTTTGAGATGTTTCCTGAGCCCATTTTATAAATCTTGGGATTAGAATTTGTATATTTAATGTATAAATTGTCCCAAGTTAGTCAAGAATAAGTATAAGATAATCATGAAGAGTCCTTAGTGTCAAGCAGAAATATGGGACCACCAGACCTGTTCTCTAGTCCTCTATTTTCCTATAGGTGAATGTTTTCTAACAGGTCCTGTGGACAGCACAAGTATAAATAGTGCTTCTAAGAATGAGGATGAAGAGACTGTAAGAATTTAAATATAATAGCCTTTATGATCACCTCATTATTTTTCCTGAGACCAACTGTATAACCAAGAGGAGATGAGGGAGAAAACATATACCAGTTACCTCCTTTACCTCTGCCATGGCCTTTGGAACTGGGGCAACAAACAAGAATAATTTGTAGTAAGAGAACTTGTCTAAGACAATTGTCACTTGCATTCTTTGGGATGGCCCTTTAAACCTTTTTCACCTTTAAAAAAAATATTTATTTATACATACAAGAACTGGGGTACAGGCCAGAGGTGTAGGGGGTGAGAGGATTCACCAGAGACAGAGTGGGGAACAGAACAGGCAGACGGACCAAAACACACTGCTGAGGGGAGCAGTGGGCGAGACAGGAGAGGTCTGCTGCTCTATGTGGGTTGCTGCCTGGTAGGCCAGGGATCGAACTTGTGCTGCAGAGGCTGCAGATAGCTTCTTAGTGCTGTGCTTATCCCTTGTGCCACCGGGGAGGCCTAAACCTCTTTCACCTTTTTCTAGGTTTCAATGGGAATTTTTTCCAAGTGATGGTAACAAATCCATGATTCATTTTCAGTACTCTCTGGGTCTGAATCAAAATGTTTCTGTCTCAGTTCTGTTGCTAGTTGTGGATAAGCAATTGATACAATAATAATATTTTATTCAATACTATATAGCAGAGTACTGGTGTAGGAAACATACAGACACACATATAAATGCACATTATGTATGCATACATTCAAATACATAAATACACATTCTTTTTTGATATGGAAATTTAAAGTATATGCCTAAGGACAGACAACAATATAATAGACCCAAGACTTGCCCCTTCCCTGCTTTAGCTGCTACCAATAATCTGCCATTCTTGTTTTGCCCATACTCCACCTGCCTACTTTGAATTGTATTTTTGTTTTGCTGTAACATTTTAATGCAAGCCCTGAGATACCATGTTATTACATTGCTTATAAATACTTGAATGTGTTTCTAACACTGTATGTAAGTTTTTATAGCTTAGTCTCTGAGTAGCAAATGACAACCATATTGGAGAGGAGAGAAAATAGTGGAGAAGAGAAACTCATTTATGTTCTTCCTCCCTTCCAACTCATTTTGATATTGGTTTCACTGACAGAAGACAAAGTAGGCAAAAAAATGCCTACTCTAAGAAAAGAAAGAAAAAAGATTTGTGCTGCTTTTCAATCTGGTCCCTAATCACTCCCTGTCCTTGATGTCTTTTTACACAGATTCCCAAATTCCACCTTATTGCTTATCTTCCCACTGTCCTGAGTACATTCCATTCACCATCACCTTGTCTTCTGAACCCATTTATTGTTGCATATTCTCCTGGCTTTTGTTCTGTAGATGACAACACTACTGTTTAAATTACATGGGTTGTGGGGGAGGGCCCAGCCTTACAAACCAGTAGATTAGTGTTGTGAAGGTTATTTGTGAGAGACAGGAGGTGGGAGTGAGCATTTTGTAATGTTCTGTACTGGAGTATGTTTTTGTGTGAAAACACTCTGTCTCACAAGATGTTTTTCTGCTTTTATTACTACACATTAGATATATTATGGTATAAAAGACTTTGTGAACCATCCTGGGAATCTTACTATCAGAAATCATTTTTAGTATTTTTCTCCCTTTGGTAAAGTACATTTCTTAGTGCAAATTATTGATTTGCAGACATATTTTTTGTACATAACCAATTTATAAGTAAGCAATCATATTTACATAATATGCTAAAAGATAAATGTTCACTTTAATTCACTTCAAATTATGTGACTGTTATACAATGTTAAATCTGATGTTTGTGCTTGTGATGTGATCTATGCTTCATGGGTATCATTATGGAAAATTAAAAATTGACAAAAGGGGGCATATACGATTGCATTTGACATCTTCAATAGAACCTGCTTTTAGATTTGAAGGTTTGCAACATAATTTAGTTGATCAACATTGCTTTAAACCTAAGCATTTTATTGACTTATTAGCTATCTATTCCATGGTATATTTTACTCTAGAAAGAATGTCATGTATGGAAATGACAGTTATATATAATTTATTTGTATCTTTAATATAAAACAAATTATAAAGTAAAAGTAAGTTTTAAATCTATACTGAAACTTAAGTTTGCTAAGATATATTTTTTTCTTTTCTTTTCTTTCTAGGATTATTTTTATCCAAAGTACTTAGGTAAGTTCAAAGGATCTCAGTCATGTAATTTTAGAAATGAAAAAGAACTTAGATATGATCAAGTCTAACCCTCTACCCATATATTCCACCAAGTAATTTCATTGGCTTTGAGAGATCTCATCCTATATGCAATCTTGATTATTTAAAGATATGTAGACAAATTTGGAATGGGCCTCTTATTACCATGTGGCATTTTAACTTTTAGTCATTTTCATTCTAATGTCTTTCTGAAAGATCTGTGGACTGATGCAAAGTTATAATTAGGCACCAGGAATTATCTATATAAGTATATGAATTTCCATGTGATATCTTTCTGAAAAATGATCTTTCTGAAAAGATCAACATATAATATTATATTAGTTGCATGTGTATAGCATAGTGATTGCATATTTGTGTATATTGTGAAATGATCATCTTACTCTGTCTAGTTAACATACATCACCACACCAAAAGTGATGAAAACTTTTAAGATCCTCTATCTTAGCAACAGTTACCATATTATAAATTATAGTCATTATGATTTACGTTACATCCCCAGGGCTTATTTTATTAATGGAGCTATGGTTACCTTTTAGTGAAAGGAAAGATCTTTGTGTATTACAGAGTTTAATCTATGAAAATTTTCACCTCAGTATTTGTAGAAATCATTAACATCTTCTTCCATTGAGCACCATTACATCATTCCCTGCAATATCTTTATCCATGTTTGACTTTTGAATATGATATTAGATTGTCATAGAGTAAGGTGGAATTTCCACACATTAATAGATTAGACACTTTCAACTAAATATCAGTTAAGGATAACAAGACTTCAATGTGCTTTAAGCAAATAATGAAATATTTTATTCTACTATCCTTTGGGAGAGTTGTCATCATTTTCAAACAATAAAAGCAATGTATGAATTGTCTGGCTCTTTCTGATGGTATTCTCTGTAGGTCCAGCCCACAGAGTTGTACTTTCCTTCTTCATTTAGGCTCAGAATATCCTCATCCTTCCATCTTTCTACCTCACTAACATCCCAGCCAATTTGAGAGCCTAAGCAGTGCCGAAGTAAAAAGTAAATCTTTTTTTAAAAAACAGTAGTAGAGAGATTATATCTCATTTCTAAAACATAACAGTGATATCTTGAAAGGGCGCTGGGGTACAGATGTACGCCTATGAATAAGAGCTCTTTGGAAAGTTGCACATGACTCCTCACTTTCTCAGCAAAAAGTAAGAGTTTACACTGTTAAAATGGAGGAAAAGGTCAAGACTGTTCATCTTAATTTTAGGTAGGCATTTAAATATTTTCAGTGGAAATAGATAATATTGGGCTATTAAAATTATGAGTTTACACTTAATTTCATATTAGTTCTTGATTGTTAGGTCTATATAATGAGGTTATGTTTCTGCAGGATTAATTCTCCAGAAGATATTTACTTTTAACCACAGAGTATATTTGGATAAAGATAAATAAGATAAATAGTATTTTTTTAAGATAAATAGTATTTTAATACAACATTATGTGTTTTGGAGAGTTCCTTATGAAATATTTTCCTTTCCTCTCTTTTTTATCCCTCGCAACTTTCTCTTTTCAGGCTCTACCCATCTTTTCTTTCTCTTTGTCTATCTTATTTGGCTATCTTATTTGGGTAGCAAACCCAAATACTAAGAAAAAAACACAAGATGCGGGCTCTCATCCCAGATCTAAAAATTTGTACTGTGTCAGGTTAAGCAAGTTATTTGACTTTTCAGGTTATATTTAATATATACTTTTCCTAACTTCAGATCTGTCGGAAATATCAGATAGGTATATTTTGCTGATAGAATTTTTACCTTATCAGACTTACTTCAAGTGTTATTATTTAATACTTACATTTTATATTTGGGTCCTTTATAACACATATGAGATAAGTCTCACTATTGAAAACAGAAAAAAGGTAATGTACCTAAGAAACTTATTTGTCACTTGATGTGTGTATTTTATAGTTCAATGACTCTAAAATAGTTCATAGTCCTGATCCTGGTAAAACTAACTACGATTTTGCTGATTACCACAGCTCCTGCAGGAAGCTCCTTACAGTGAGATAACAGCACCCAAGAATTTAAAGCACTAATACTAATCCATACTTTTGGGGCAGTGTTTAGATTTAGAGTATCAGACATATAAAAAACATACCTATTCATCTACACATCCATGAATTGGTATAAAACATGGAATTTGGACAGAAATACTCAGGGTTTCATAAGGTTTTAAGCTGAATGGTTTTCTAGAAAATAGACTAATTCTATCATTTTATATAGACCTTTAAAATATCACCTGATAAAGTGTGTGATTCTGCTAATGGCAGAAAAACTTCTTGGGAGGAATGTTAAACATTAGAAATAACTTTTAGTTCCTAGTTCTTGAAAAATTGGTGAATTAACTCAGACTGCTCACTCTTCTTAAAAATCATCTCAAGAGCAACAATGACATTCCAGGCATTAATAATAACAAAACAAAATGAAAAGCAACCAAAAATGTGAGAAATCCATGGGTAGCCTGAAGGCCGGCTTGACCTAGTATGTGTGTGAGTGAATTGGGGTTTTGACTGCTGAGACAGCAGTAAGACGTCAGATTTTAATATTTAAAATAATAATTCTGAAAGTTTCGTCAAGTAAGATAGAGCATAACCTGAGTAATAAGAAAAAACAATATATTAAAAAGTATAGACATTAGTTCAATGGAAAGCAAAAGAGACTATTAATCTACTTGTGGCTACTAAAGCTGAGGCATCCTCCAACTCTCCCTTTCCTTACACTTTCTCTCAATTTCCCTCATTCCTATTGCACAGTGAGAAAGTGAACTGGAACAGTAAGGGCTCTGTATTGCATGACTTTGTAGATTGCCATGCAGCGGGCTGTCCACAATAAAATTTAAATGCACATTTCCATGAAAACATTATCATACATGTATTAGTTTAGACCTGTGTATACTAAGGTGCAGTATGAGTTAAACCTGCTTTTTCATCTGGCCCACGGTGGTAATCACCACATGAAACATTTCACCTAGATCTCTAGCCGAAAGGAACACCAATTTTGGTTGTTACTCATGGTCAAATTTGTTGAGAACTACAAAGTGAGACTTTCTTAGAAATCACAATCCAGAAGGACCACTCTGATGTAAGTAAGGTATTATTTTTATGGGAAAATATTCTAAACCACCACGGTAGGATGAATAATAACCCCCAAAGATCCTAATCTGCAAAACCTATGAACTTTACCTTTTATGGCAAAAGATTTTGAAAATTAAATATAGGATCTTGGGATGGCGGCATTACCCTAGATTATCTGGGTTGGTCCAATGTAGTCATGAACATCCTGTATGAGGGTGGTAGGAGACCAGATTTGGTAGTAGGATATATGATGATGAAGCAACAGTTGGTTGTGATATGAGGATAGATCTATGGGACACAGGTGACCTAGAAACTGAAAAAGGCAAGGAAACAGATTCCTTATTCAAGTCTCCAAAAGGCATGCAGCCCTGCCAGTCTGAAATTTAGACTTCTGATACTATCATTGTAACAATGAATTTGTGTTGTTTTAAGTTACTTGGATTGTGATGATTTGTTACAACAGTAGGAAGCTAATACACAAACTGACTTCACATGAGCCTTTAAATCATCTCTGAGAAATTACATTTTCAAAGATGGCTGTAATGTCACCTTGACATACCCCATTACTATATGACTCTGTCCTTTCTCCTTATGCCTTCAATATGGGTGGAACCTGGGACTACTTTGATCAGTAAAATATGGTGGAAGTACAAAATGCCTCTTAACTGGCCTGGCAAGTTCTGCTCTCTTCCTCTTGGAAGCTAGCTGCCATGAAAGAAGTACCACTTTAGGACCAACATAATAAGAGACACTCAACCCTTGGAGAAGCCCAGAAGCATGATACCCCACATGGAGAGAGAGATGCCAAGGAACCTGAGCTGTCAGTCATGTGAGTGAAAAGCCATTTTGGAGGTGGATCTTCCAGTCCCAAACACTCTGGCTGACTCCACATGTAGCAGAGACAAATAGCCCAACCCAACCCTTTCCAAATACTTGACTCACAAATCATGCTCAAAAAAAAAAAAAAAGAAAGAAAAGGAAAAAGGATTATTTTGTGTTACTAATTACTAATGTTTGGGGTCATTTGTTAATCAGCAAAATAACCATAAACTACCTTTTCAGTAATTTGGTCACTAGTTATACAATGAAGTGATTGATTATATCTATATCTTTCTATCTATATCTATTTCACTGCTGATTAAGAAATGTTATTTGTTGGAACTAAATCAACTTTAGTTACTTAAAAGCCCTAAGTATTTTTCTCTTTATTATTTCAACTGTTATTTCTGCCAGAGTGCTATATCTGTTTTACCAGATTGTAATGAGAATAAAATTAATGACATTAAACTGATTTATAATATTAAGACATTATATAAACATTAATACATTATTGCCCATGAATCATTAAAAGAATTAGAAGTCGTCTACAGCAACCAGAAACACTAACTCATTCTATTGACTTAATTATAGATACTTTCTATATCAGACCCCTGTCTACAAATTTGAAGGTAACTTTTGGTCTTTGCTACAGAGTTAATAAGATAGATTTATGTAACCATAATGTTTTCTGCTAATCTAAGTTCCTTTTTCATTTCTAGTTTAAGATAATTATCCAAAGAGAAGCTTCCATAAACTCATTTTTCATGATTCTGTACTTTTCACAATTTTGCTTGTAGATTTTTAATTTTTATAAAAGATGAGTGAAAACTTTGGGATTGACATTTTCAATGCTGAATCCTGTAAATCCACAGAAGCATAGTCTACCTCTCTAGGTCATTTCTAGCATTATTTCAGATCAAGTAATTGTGTTTACCTTTACTAAGGAGATTACATCTGTTTGTATTTACAGGTTGTGTCGGTGCTTTCCGAGCGAAATCCGCCACTACTGCCCTTCAAAAAGCTAATGTTTATCCTGATCTAAGGAGCTGTGTCAATGGTAAACATCTCTACCATATAATTAAAACAAAACAAAACAAAACCATAACCTTCAAGTAAAGTATGTCCATAATAATAGAACTGACTTTTAAAAATCAATAAATGAGCCCTTCAAAGGCTGTATGCCTTGCAAGGAGGTGTTCTCAAAATGCCTTAGAAAAATTTGGTTTTTAGATGCAAATGCTGCTGTTTTCCTCAACATGACATTTTATGAAGAAAATTTCCCTCTGCTGGGAATCACTACTTTGCAAACTGTTGTCCACTGTCTAAAAACTACTGTTTTATATAATTAACCAAAGTTCTGTTTACCTAAAGCAGGATGATAAATTTGGTCCCTGTCACTCTATCTAAGCCCAAGTTGGGAATTTCCAAATTCTGTTTTCTGTTGATACTGAGAATAGTTTCATTTCTTCTGCCTACCTCATGGAGTAGTTTTTAGGATCAAATAAGGGCATAAATATGAAAATATATCTAAATCATACTTTTAAAGTGCTGTATATATTTGCAAATATACACAAGAAGTTTCCATTTGCAAAATAATTATAAAGTCTTGTCCAGTGGATTCACTTTTAATGAAAAAGTATTATTTGAAGGAAATAATTACAGTCAATTTCATTGATTACATACTTTTACACAGGATTTTTATTAAAGGGCATATAATTCTATTTTACCATGGCATGTGCTACAATTAAATTCATGTATATTTCCTTCAGCCATTCCAGACCAGTGCAATCCTCAGCCATGCAATGAAGATGGATTTAAAAAATGCATAGATGGCCAAGCTACATTCACTTGCATTTGTAAATCAGGCTGGCAAGGGGAGACATGTGAATTTGGTATGTATAGTAAACATATCTGGTTCATATGGATTGACCTCCTAAAAAAGCAATACTTTAAAAATAATTTATTTCTCGGCCTCCCCGGTGGTGCAGTGGTTGAGCGCTGGGTTGCGAAGCTGCCCACAGCCTCTGCAGCACCGGTTCGATCCCCAGCCACTGGGCGAGGGTCCCACATGGCGAGCAGACCTCTCCTGCCGCCTGCTGCTCCCCTCAGCAGTGTACTTCGGTCCTTCTGCCTGCTCTGCTCCCCACTCTGGCTCTGGTGAATTCTCTCACCCTCCCAAGCTTCTGACTGTACCCAGTGCTTGTATAAATAAATAAAATAAATCTTTAAAAAAAATAATTTATTTCTCTTTTTTTAGATATAAATGAATGCAAAGATCCCTCAAATTTCAATGGAGGTTGCAACCAGATATGTGATAATACACCTGGAAGTTACCATTGTTCCTGTAAAAGTGGTTATGTTTTGCTTTCAAATAAGAAGAACTGTAGAGGTAAGAGCAAAAGCTAGAATAAAGTGGTATTTACCTTGTGAGAGCAATTTCAGCTATAGCAGAGAAAAAATCCAGTTGAAGGAATTTCTCAGAAAGTTTTTAGAAAAGTGGTTATAAGTGCTTACAATAAATAAATGTTACTGGGCCTCCCTGTTGGCGCAAGGGGTTAAGTCTCAGCATTATCAAGCTATCACCAGCCACTGCAACATGAGTTTGATCCCTGGCCAGGGAGCTACCCACATGGTGCTGCAGACCTCTTCTGTCTCACCCACTGCTCCCCTCAGCAGTATATTTCAGTGGATCTGCCTGTTCTGCAACCTACTCTGTCTCTGGTGATTCTTCTCAACACCCCCTCTCTCCCCACATCTCTGGCCTACACCCTAGCTCTTGTATGCATAAATAAATAAAATAAATCTTGAATAAAAATAAATAAACATTATTTTCTACTGTGAAGCCTTGTGATATTACATAACTGCCTTTTAGTTTATAGTTTATGGGGTATTTTGTTACTTATAGAGTATTTTATTGTTTTCCTATTACATTTATCACCTTATAGAGTATTTTGTTTTCTTAATGTGTGTGTGTGTGTGTGTGTGTGTGTGTGTGTGTATGGACACACATGTGCACATTTTAATAAAGAATTTCATTATATGGTGATAATGTGAAATTTCAGTGCAAGTCCTTGCATGCCTGTCTTTGCAAAATAGTTATTTTTACTACTTTGTTTTAAACAATATATCATTACTTTTATTCCAGTAAGATAAACAGCTATACAAAGAAATCCACCACGATCCTTAATAACCCTTTTTTTTTTTAATTATCTTTCTTGGCATTTACTTTTTTTTTTTTAAGATTTATTTATTTATTTGTACAAGCACTGGGTACAGTCAGAAGCGCGGGAGGGTGAGAGAATTCACCAGAGCCAGAGTGGAGAGCAGAACAGGCAGAGTGACGAAGTACACTGCTGAGGGGAGCTGTGGGAGGCAGGAGAGGTCTGTGCGCCATGTGGGACCCTCGCCCGGTGGCAGGGGATCGAACCGGCGCTGCAGAGGCTGCGGGCAGCTTTGCAACCCAGCACTCAACCCCTCCGCCACTGGGGAGGCCCCTTAATAACGTTTTCCACTGTGTTTTATATTCCCTTGTCAGAAATACCATTCTAATTTCCAATACAAACGTTTTGTCTTGTACCTCATTTCCTGTTGTGGTTTTGGGAAACATGAAGTTCTGGCTTTCTTTCTCTAAACATTTAAGTTCACATCATTGGTCATAACTCTTATTTTTTCCTCAGGCTTAAAATACTCCCTGTCAGTTTATTCTCTTAGCAAGCACTTTGTTTTCTTTGTGCTTTTATTTTCTGCAGATTTTGACTTTTTCACTCTGTATAATGCCCTTTTCACCTAACTGCTTTAATTGCTATAACTAAATCTTCAAATACAAATGCTAGGTTGTGGATAACTTAAAAAAAAAAATCCCAGCCTGGAATTAAGGTAGATAATAAAAATAAGGTCACAAATTGGATAATGGTTTAGAAGAAATAGTTAATGCAGTTCTCTCTAGAGTCTTTTAATAGGATTTTAAATAATATTATAGTAAACTCTATGAACTCTACAGTGCAGTGAGGGGCAGACCTTTCTCTCTTTTCTTTCCTCCCTCTCTGCTTCCCTCTTTTTTGTCTTCTTGTTGCTGTTAAGTAGAATATTTAGTAAGAAAATGTTAAGCTTTCTTGTTCAACTGTACTAATTTGGTAGGTCTGTCACATACTACACTGTAGTATTCAGTACAGCTTGCTATGTTATTTAAATGTTATTAAATGACTCTAAAATGAACTTCATATGGACTATGGTGGAGGACTTTCAGTGCCTTGGTGGTGGGTATGGTCTAATAACATCATCTCTTAATCAAAAACAGTGTTGTAAACAGATGTTGTTACCTCAATAAAAATGAATGAGTGAATGAATAAAATGAGCTACAGAAAAAACAATTTTTCTAAACCATTCTCCAGGGTTTTTTTTAAGATTTATTTCATTTATGCATACAAGAACTGGGGTACAGGCCAGAGGTGTGGGGGGTGATAGGATTCACCAGAGAAAGTGGGGAGCAGAACAGGTGGATCTACTGAAACACTCTGCTGAGGGGAGCAGCGTGTGAGACAGGAGAGGTCTGCTGCACCATATGGGTAGCTCCCTGGCTGGCTGGGGATTGAACTTGTGTTGCGGTGGCTGCCAGTTGCTTGATAGCACTGTCTTTAACCCCTGCGCCACAAGGGAGGCCCCATTCTCCAGTTTATGATCAGATCTTTCTTATCTATCTGAAAATCTAAGGTTAGAAATTTAGAATGCCAATATCAGAATACCCATCATCATAATGCAGGGTGCCATTTGCATTTCATAAGCAAATAATACTCATATATACTTCTACATTTGAATACTTGAGTAATTTTTCCTTCTATAGAATTGTGACATATTTTAATTAAATGTATTTAATCTTTATCCATTGAGTTGATACAAATGTATAAAAATCATTACAAAAGGTCCTCTAACAAATAAGAATGTTCCTGATAACCTGAATATATGTTCTTATATACTTCATTTATACAATCCTTTATCCACCATACCTAAGTGATAGCGTACAGAAATATTAGAAGAATATGTATACAACTATTTCAATAGGGCCTCTGCCAACATGTGGATATGCTTGGGATCAAGTTGACTGTCAGTATCTAAAAAATGCAAGAGTAAAACTTTTCATCAGACATTAGATGTCAGTAGAGCCATAAAATCAACGTCCTATGACCTGAACTCGTATGATTTAAATAATTTCCTACAATATGCCACAAACCAAATCGTGTGTTGTATGCTTTGCTTTTCCTTTTAAAAATATGGATTTTAATAGCTCTTTTTAAAAAAAATTACATATTGGGCCTCCCTGATGGCGCAGTGTGTTGAGCGCAGCCCTGTGAAGCTGTCTGCATCCTCTTCAGCACTGGTTCGAATCCTGGCTGGCCAGGGAGATTCCCACATGGCGTGGCAGACCTTTCCTTTAGCACCCGCTGGCTGCTCCCCTCAGCTGTGTACCTTGGTCCTTCTGCCTGTTCTTCTCCCTACTCTGTCTCTGGTGAATTCTCTCACCCTCCCGCACCTCTGGCCTGTACCCCAGTACTTGTAAAAATAAATAAATCTTTTAAAAAAATTAAATTTTTTATTTTAATGTAATTGTAGATTCACATGGAGATGTGAGAAACAATAAAAAAGATCCCATGTATCCTTTGCCCCATTTTCCCCAATGATTACATTTTACAAAACTGGAATACAATATTTCACCCAGGATAGTGGTATTGCCATTGTCAAGATATAGAAAGACTCCTTTACCACAAAAGATTGATTCTATTGCTTTTGTGCATGTTATTTGAAAGATCAGTATCTGAAGTTTTGGTTGACATTGGTTTGAGGAAAAATTAAATTCAGCTTTGAGAAAAAAAATAATTTCCATTCTGAACTTGTCTTTCTCTGGAAAGTACAGTTGAAAATTTTCACTGATAACTTTTTGTCACTTGTTCTGTCTTTCTCACAGGTGCTTGTCTAGAAACTAAGTGCAACCAATACTTTGTTCCCTACTTTACCATACAATATAATAAGTATACATGAAATTTCTAGAATATAATTTTTGGAACTAAAAGTTATATTGAATTGAAATAACTGCAGCTTTATAAACATTTTAAAATCTTACTCAAACCCACTTTAAATTCAGATACTTTATGTATAATGATATTTTCCATTTCCAAAAGAAACATGAGCTGTCTCATTTTTATTTTTCATATTTGTGACAATACAGAGTGAGTTCACTTTTGAAACTATTTTTTTCAGAATCTTGTATTTAGGAATAAATATTAATAACATGGTGAATCTCCTCTACTATTTATTTTCGTACTGTAACCCGGTACGTAAGAAAATAGCTAAAACTATTGCCTTTTTTTTTTTTTCTTTTGCATAACTACAAAGGAACATGACAAATATCAATCAAATTCCTTATGCTTTTGTATAAAGAAATTATATTTAGTAAAGTAAACTATGATGATAGATTTAATATTTTGTTATTCCCAGGCCACTTTGTTGTCTTACTACGTATATTAAACTAGATCCAGGAAACACAAATCAAGAGTTCTTTTGTAACATCTTTTGGCATGGGAAAAAATGTTTTTTAATATATTGGTTTCACTTATAGATGTGGATGAATGCTCTATAAAGCCAAGCATTTGTGGCACAGCTGTGTGCAAGAACCTCCCAGGAGACTTTGAATGTGAATGTGCTGAAGGCTACAGATATAATCCCAAATCAATGTCTTGTGAAGGTAGAGTTGTGGTGATATTGCTGATGGTGGTTAAGATGGTTTTGAACCCTGTTTCAATATTAAGAGCATAATGGTTCTGTTTGACATCAATAATCAGATTTTCTAAGATGGCAAAATCCATGGGCTAGCCTGGTCAGTGGGGTAATCCTTGGCTTCCTTCCAGAAGAAATGTAAGACACATGGTCTTCAGGTTTACTGTTGTGCACTCTGATTGTCTTCTAAGTCCTATATGAATTGAAAACTTCCTATGGATGAGAAAAGTAAAAGTAAATAAATTTCACATCATTTAAATAATACTCAAAAAATAAAGAGTTAGAAAGCTGGGAGGGAAAGCACATACATATGAAAGAAAAAGAAGTTTAAAACTCATGTGGGTAGTACAACTTGGGTGGCAAGGAATCTTGGGTTTTAGACCAAACTCATCATTAGTACTATCATTGATTATGAAATAGAAAGTGACAGTTTTGTTATCATTGTATTATAAAAAGTCATGTTCTTGATATTTTCATTTAATTCCTAATTACATTAAACTTTAGTTAAAAGGGATGGTTGCTTCCCTTTCCTATATTTCTATCTCCCTCTCCTTTTGTTTTCTTTCTCTATTCCATCTTCTTCTCCAGCCTTCCTTTCTTTTTTTCCTTCAGAACAAAGAATTGGGAATACTCTCAATGGAATTCATATAATTAAAAATGAATGTAAACTTGAGACTCTCAGCTTCTTTTCCTTCAAATTAAACAGGAAAATTAGTTTAATTGTTGTATTTTTGTTAATTACTAATTACTGAACATTACACTTAAATTTGTTGTTTTGGGTATTTAAATAAATATAAATTGCTTTGGTAACTCATTTAAACTTCCATGCTTTAAATGTTATTTGATGTCATAGGGATGTCTTTTACTAAGGATCTATTGTTGATTATCTCACACTAAAGTCAGAATACTCTTTCTGTTGGATTGAACATTTAAGAGACATTAGATTTATGTTACCTTTTATTCCAGATGTGGATGAATGCTCAGAGAACATATGTGCTCAACTCTGTGTGAATCACCCTGGAGGTTACTCTTGTTATTGTGATGGGAAGAAAGGATTCAAACTTGCCCAAGATCAGAAGAGTTGTGAGGTAACATTTTGCAATGCTAAAGTTCCCATTTCATTTCTAACATGAGAGCTTCAGGTACTTATATCCACAAAGCTGAGGTAAGTCAGAAAATACACATGTTCTGCAATAATTGCTACAGGTCTAAGCAGGCTATGAGTCACATTTCTGTTTATTCATCATGGTTGTGACTTCAGGGATAATTTATGACTAGGTAAATAGTAAAAGAATTCATGTAGACTTTGTGGAGTTGGGAGAATGGTCATTTGTACCACCTGTACACTTACCACATATGATGTTCACACTTTACACACTTTATTTAAAAGTGGAGGTTTATACGTCACTTTGTGAGGAAAAAAAATCTACTGTATATCTTTAGTGCCAGCATTTTCCAGTGTCTTCTTTACTTATTCCACTCTGAAGAATTTGATCATGCTTTAGGCATGTTAATACTTGCAGGAGTGCCCATAAAAATCTCAGATGGAAACAACTTTGTCAGAATAAGACAGTGCAATTTAAATTTTTCAGAGAGGTCATTTTGGTTCTGTGTCTCCCAACCTGGCATTTAATCTGTCAAATTTAATTGCTAATTGATACAGAAATTGCTTGTAAGGGGAAGATTCTGGTTTTTCCTTCACTGAAATAAATATGTCAACATCTGAAGCTATTTTTACCCCCCTAAGTAAGGACCACATGTTTGTGATCCTTAGTCCAATTCTTGAATCTCTCTTACTTTTCACAAGTGAAGGTGAAATTTTTGTTTATGAAGTAGATAGTTAAATAATCCACTTTGGTGATTTAATCTGTTTATATACACACTCTGCAGATGTTACTAAGACAAAACTATGTATATCCAAAAAGTGTAACTTTCTACATTATGCTACCTAACTTGGTAAAAGAAAGTAATGTAATCGAGGGCATATATAGTAACTTCAACAGTACTTAATTGAGATACCATGCTGTGTGAATGTTTATTTAATAATTTAGTCTCATTATTTCTGTATTTGTTGTAGTTTCACACCACCAACTACCTTGGAATAGATCTACTGACATTTCAAGAGGAAATGAGGTGTTATTTCTGGACCTTGATTTAATACGTTATATATTCCCCCCCATCACTCCTATGTGTTTATGAACCTAATTTTTAAAAGCTTCCCATTATGTTTGATTTTACTTATAGAAAAAAAAACTTCATGTCAGATTATTGATCCTCAATCACTTTTCTGAAAGTTCCTTGTAGACTAAAATGATATCTTAATTTATATGTATCCCATCCAGTTTTCCCAGCATTTCCTTTACTATCTACATATAGAATTTTGCTCAGGAAATTTTAGTAATTTCATTCATTTGTGAGGAAAAATCTACCATAAATCTGTTATAGGGCAGCCCCGATATAAAACAGGTTGCCTGACTGTGGGTCCTTAACCACGCGCTTAAAAGGGACTTATTAATACTCCACTGCAGGCACACACAAAAGGTTAATAAAAGGTTTATTCACAAGGGAAAGGGAAATGAGGAAATGTACAACTCGGGGAGAAAAGAGGGAGATAAAGTCTTAAATGCATCCTACCCATCTCCACAGACCTGGAATCCCAATGGCACTGTGAGAGCTGGCCGCGAGCCAAGAGCCGTGAAGCCAAGAGAGAGCCCCAAGGCCCATGTGTCTGGTTTTATACTAAACCTGGCTGCTTAACTCCACCCTCAGGTCCCAGCAACCCTCCCTTTGGTGATGATGGGATTTGTCATTCCCAATGTCTTGATGGCTTTGGTCTGGAGTGGGGGGCGGGGGTGGAGTCCACAAAGCCTGTATGGATTTAGCTCAGGACATCCTTTCCCCCTAACAAATCTACGGTGAATAAATGAATGAGTGAATGATTGAGGTGCTATTCATTGGTACAAGAATTTCCCACCTATTTCTGACTCCAAATATAGATAGTTTTAGTTATAACTCATGGAAGACATTATATCTACAGTTATTTAGAGGAATGCATGTTGCTGTTGGAAGAAAAAGTTGGTGTTTTGGACTGAGATGTACAAAGGAAATATTAAAGACAAAGATCTAAAAACACCTATATTAAACAGGAATTTAAAACACACATGTTCTTGATAGACTACATGTGGTAGTAAAATATACTACTTTATTAGTATCAAAAGTGTTCTTAATTTATTGTTGTGTATAATAGAGATTGCATTTGCCAAAAACACTAGGAATAGGAGAAAGATAAATAAACTGGCACAAACAGTAAGAAATAACCTCTGCATTTTGTTTGTTTTGTTCCCTTTTCTCCAGGCTGTTCCAGTGTGCCTTCCCTTGAACTTGGACAAAAATTATGAATTACTTTACTTGGCTGAGCAATTTGTAGGGGTTGTTTTATATTTAAAATTTCGTTTGCCAGAAATCACCAGGTAAGGTACCAATGTCAGTGATAATTTCTAGAAGATAGCAGATAAGAAAGGATGAAAGGTGAAATGTAAAAAGTTGTAGTATTAATCAGATAACTTAGGTATATTACCATTGAGATGATTTGGGGAACTCTAAAGTTAATATGTTCTTTTATACATGTAATTTTCATGCTAGAAACATTTTGGATCATTCTATACTGACCACCTCAATGATTATTTTTACCTTATTCCCTTTTCCTTTTCTACTGAATGAAATAGAAAATCAGAAAGTAGAAAATTGATTTGTGGAATTTTCTTTTTACATAACATAAAATGTCATTCTTCATTATAAAAACTAAGTAATGAAAAGATACATAGTATTGTTTTTAGAATATGGTTATGTTCATAATCATTAAGAAAAACTGAAGTGGTATCTTAAAGAACGATGTCACATGATTTTTAACTGACTCTGAATACTTTATCTGCTATTCTTATAGTCTGGCTAACTTTGGGGAGATAGTAGCTGCTTATATTTTTGTATCATTTTTCTACTTTCACTATCTAAATTTTCGGAGCTAAACATTGCTGAAATTAGAAAAAAGAAACTGGAATGTTGTTGGAATATGAAAAATGAGCTTATTTGACACTGGTTATAACTTCTTAATTTTAAAATACTTTGACTAAATAATCATATGTATTTGGAATTTAAGTATGTGATTATTTGTTAAATGATTCCATTAAGTTCTGAGAAATTAAGGGACACTGCAATTTGTTCTAAGATTCGCTGATATAACTGTGCACCTTTGACATTCTCCCCTCTCCCAACCTGGTTTTTCTCTTTAACATCTCAGGGCAAATAATACCTTCTATTCCTTCTATGTAGTATGGGGAAAACCCAATTTTGCAATGAGAATAATGATAGTGAGAGAGAAAAAAGTTAATTATGCCATTTTTTTAGATACCTTCAAGGTTATTCAAACTCACTGACAATTCACAATAACTTATACTCAAAAACACAGGATCAAATTAACCAAACAACTATTATTCCAGTGTTTATTTTTATTATTTGTCTCCTCATGGGGCGGCAGAGTTGGAAGCAGCATGGGATGAGGGAAAGATTACTCAATGTCCACGTGAAGAAATGAGAAGCCTAGAGGGGCTACACCAGAAGTAATGTGCAGCCCCATCCATAGGCAGTCTCATATTTATTAGCATCAAGTACAAAGGTGGGGCAGGTATTTAGGGAGTGTCTATGTATGGGGGATGCTTATCCAGGATGTAAACTAGGGTGGAGAGACCAGGGACTATTGCCTGGGGGGTTCCATTGTTCTTGCAAGTCTAAGCATATTATCTATATTCTGAAATCTGCCTGCTGTTTTCAGCAGATACTGATTTCCCATTATGTTCCTTCTACCAGGACTTTTGCCCTTGGAGAGAGGCCCCCTGCATGACCCTGCACCTAGCTGACAAGCAGGAACTCTGGGCACAAAGATAATATCCCCAAGAACAAGTGGGGTCTGGGGATTCTACACTTACTTTGTTTAAAACTTTTTACGAAGTATAAAATATTCTCAGAAATGTACATATACCTTAAATATACGGTTTAATGAATTTTGTAAATTGCCCCATGTGTAAACCAGCACAAAGAACAGATAGCTCTTTTATTTTCAAATATTTCACCTCTCTCTATGATCAAATACCTTACTGAAAGTTAGCAAATTTGCTTCTTTCACGCTATCAAACTTCTAAAAGGAATGAATTGTTCCCCTTTGTAATCAATCAGTTTGCTGATGTATTCCAGAGAAAAATATGTAGAATGTGACCCTTTGAATTATTGGTTTAGATTGATTTTACAAATAAAAGGAAATTATCCATAACAGGAACAATTGGAAGGTCCTGAGGATATGCAGATTCAGGTTTCAGTAAAATAATACATGCCTCACGTCAGCAGAATGTGATGAGAAAAAGTGAGGTTGTAAGTCCTTATTCCAAGAAAAAAAGTTCTTTTTTTATATAATCAGAGTTCAGTAAATTCCCACTACATTTTGTTACCTGTCCAACATACTTTACTCCACATTTACCTGTTTGTAATATTTTCTTTGCCTAAAGACTAAAAATTTGCATGCTATCAATTTTTCATTTTTCCACTAAGGGGATCTGTGCTTCATTGCAAATGATTTCTATATTACTATTATATGTGAAGTTAAGGGTTTGGAATTAATTTTTGCTTGATTTAGCAATTATCTGAAGTCCTGACATAGTGAATTAAATTACCTTTATTTTAACTTAACTCAGTTGACTAACAGTTATATAACTATGTTACCTATTTCCTGTTTGTCTTTTTTCACTTATTTTGATTTGCTGGTCCCTTGTAAATTTTAACCATGATTCTTACTAAAACATCCTAAGGGCACTGAATCAATACATGTTAATTTTTAGCGTGTTAATTTCTTCCCCTGTAATAACTACATGTATGTCCAGAGTATTAATAACAACAGGCTTTGCCAGAGCTCAGGTATTGCCAAATATATGACTAGACTACATATTTTAAGCTCTCCTTCCATGTACTCAGTGATTTATGCAACTAGAAGTTTGAGGAACTTTGAAATCAAGTTCACATATACATTTTAATGTTTTTGACTTTGTCTTCCTTACCACTCTTGAAGGCTTAATTACGTTTGCAATCATCCAGATGTTATCTTGTAGATCTCTGTGAGTGATTCCTTCTTGACATATATGAAATCATAGAGAAAATATGCTTTGTAAGGATAAATCAGTCATGAAATTGTAACATCTTTTACTAATCATGTATGAGTACAGAAAACAAATCTTAATGTCAGGTTATATAGGGTATAAGAGACTCCAGGAGAGATACAATATGCCTGATGTGTGTGTGTGTGTGTGTGTGTGTGTATGCTGGAATATATATATATATTCCAGCATTTGAAAACATGCCTTCACAATGAATGAAAAAAAAATTACCAAGGCATCTGTTCATGGGGGGGGGGGGCGGGGGAGGAACTCTAAGTAAGAAAGTAAAATAACTTGATTTTGATTTTAAACACACGTGGAGCCAGAGATAATTCCTGAATAGTCTAATTCTGTTCTTCTATATTAATTCCAGGGAAAGATATACATAGTTGACTCTGGACATAATGCTATTTGCCAGTACTAGAGAAAAAGAATAACACATCAAGTCTTCTGTGATTCTCGCTATTAAGGATCTCTCTTTGTTTGTGGTTTAGATTTTCAGCCGAATTTGATTTTCGGACATACGATTCAGAAGGAGTTATCCTATACACAGAGTCTCTGGATCACTCGGCTTGGTTCCTGATTGCTCTTCGTGATGGAAAGATTGAGATTCAATTTAAGAATGAGTATACAACCAAAATCACAACTGGAGGCAAAATTATTAATACTGGTCTGTGGAATATTGTAAGTTTTGCAGATTTCCTAAAGAATCTTCCCACTTTTACACAGTTTGTATAAGTCATAAAAGAATTTCTTTTTTAAAAAGATTTATTTTATTTATACAAGAACTGGGGTACAGGCCAGAGGCACAGGAAGGTGAGAGAATTCACCAGAGATAGAGTGGGGAGAAAACAGGCAGACCATTGAAAACACTGCTGAGGGAAGCAGCAGGTGATACAGGAGACGTCTGCCTCGCCATGTGGATATCTCCCTAGCCGGCTGGGAATCAACCTGCACTGCCGAGGCTGCAGACAGCTTCACAGTGCTGCACTCAACCCGCTGCACCACCGGGGAGGCCCAAAAGAATTTGCTTTTATAGTGATACCAAACGGAGGTGGGTTTTGGTCTGTCTGATTTTATGCAAAATATATTCTTCAGAACGTAAATTCCTTGAAAGCCTGAGAATGATATGGTCACTTAAATATTTAGACTTTTTCATAATTGAAGAGATTCAGTTATTTGCTTGTACTTCTTTGTCCTTAATTTTTTTTTTTTTAACCTAGTTTTGTGATTGTTTTTGAGTGAACAGTACTGTCAGTCCTATAGATCAGGGATTATTAGTCCGCTGATAGTTTATGCAACACACTGTATGGCAGTATGTCTAGTGTCTTGTTTCCTACTTATTATGACAACTAAAAGTGATCCCCACCCTTGCATTTTCCATATGCCTTACAGTGGGGCAGTGGAGTCCCCATTTAGAAATTCCTGCATGACCAGAAGGAAAAGATTTGGGAATTGTGCTCTGGGGTTTATTAGAGAGATTTGGAAGATGAAAAGCATCCCACATAGGAGATTAAGAAAAGGGGGTAAGAGTGTGAAGGGGAAGCAAGCCGGATGGATGCTGGAGTCTGAGTTAAGAACATCTTCCAGAGGGAATAATCTTTAGAAAATGATTACTTTTAATTTGTAAAATTTACTGAATTTATTTTACTTTACATCATAGGTTTTTATCTTCCTGTAGTGGTGCTTTGATGTGCCTATTGTTTAGCTTCCATTATTAAATAGTAAATGATTAGTTTGCATTTTGAGTGTTTCAGTTGTTCATGAAGAAACTGCAACAATGGTTCTTCTAATTGCCTGTACAGGGAGACTTTTTTTTAAAAAAATTTTTTTAAAGATTTATTTATTTATTTATACAAGCACTGGGTACAGTCAGAGGTGCAAGAGGGTGTGAGAATTCACCACAGCCAGAGCGGAGAGTAGAACAGGCAGAGTGATGAAGCACACTGCTGAGGGGAGCAGCGGGCGGCAGGAGAGGTCTGCGCGCCTTGTGGGACCCTCACCTGACAGCCGGGGATCGAACTGGCGCTGCAGAGGCTGTGGGCAGCCTCGCAACCCAGCACTCAACCACTGCGCCACCAGGGAGGCCCCAGGGAGACATTTTATAGTATTTTTTATCACTTCCAGTCTTTTTAAAAAAAAAAAAAACCAAAGTACTTTAAAAAACCAATTTAATTTTATGCGTTATATTTCCCAATGACCTCAATTAGTTTTGCACTTGAAATAAAATATAATCTGTGAAATGAGCAGACTATTGGATGTGCTGACTTCTCTTATTTTATATTAAGAACATATTGTGGGCCTCCCCGGTGGCGCAGCGGTTGAGCGCTGGGTTGCGAAGCTGCCCGCGGCCTCTGCGGTGCCGGTTCGATCCCTGGCTGCTCCCGGGCCACCGGAGGAGGGTCCCACATGGCGCGCAGACCTCTCTTGCGGCCCGCTGCTCCCCTCAGCAGTGTACTTCGGTCCTTCTGCCTGCTCTGCTCCCCGCTCTGGCTCTGGTGAATTTTCTCACCCACCCGCGCTTCTGACTGTACCCAGTGCATGTATAAACAAACAAATAAATAAATAAATAAAACATACCTCTATTAAAAAAAAATTACTTTAAAAAAAAAAAGCATATTGTATCCAAATGTACTCTCAGACACCTGTAGAGTCAGAACCTGAGATTTTGTAGAATAACTCACTTTTTTTCTAGACTTAATTTTATGGCATACTGAGTATTTAAATTCATCAGAACAACATCCATTTTTTAAATTTTAAAATAGGATGTTCATTTAATTTTTGATAAAGTACTATCACTTTAAAACACATTTTTCTCACCTTTATAATAATTTGTTATTTTAAATGGGTTGGAACACATTAATAATTGCTTTAAAGTGATTCTTTTGAAAAATAACCTACTGGAACAATTATAGGGTATTTCTGCCCAATATTGCAAATGGCATGCAGTGAAGTTTGGTTGTTTGGTAATTTTTCTCTTTTTTATTTGTAGGTTTCTGTGGAAGAATTAGAACACAGTATTAGTGTTAAGATAGCTAAGGAAGCTGTGATGAATATAAATAAACCTGCAAATCTTTTTAAGCCTACAAATGGATTTCTGGAAACCAAAGTATACTTTGCAGGATTACCTCGGAAAATGGAGAATGCACTCATTAAACCGGTAATGATCCAAGCTTCTATCATTCTTCATGGGTGAATTCCTTGTCTATAATAGATTTGAAGATGTGTTTTTCTGAAAGTCAAAAGAAGTTATTTTGTTGAACACATCAACTGTGACAACATGAACTGAATATGGAAAAATAACATTAGTGACCCTTGAAATTACATTAATGAAGTAAAATGTAGTGATTTTGTGTCCATTTAAACCTCTAGCATTATTGATGGAGAAGTCCATTTTTAAAATTCTCAAAGCATGAATTCTGTGTTAGCATCATTATAGTCTTTAGTTAGTCATTAAACCTATGTATACACATTTGAGTCCTAAAACACATTATTTTATGGAAATCAAAGAACTTTCTCAGGTCTATTTTAAGACTGAAATTCGGGAGGTTCCTCATAATGTGGAACTTTAACAAAAATCTTTATGTAGCCTGTCATAAATTGAAGTTAGATGTAATAGATGATTTCTGTATTTGATGTTTTTCTAATAACTGTGGAATAGGTTTCATGGAGAAGACTAATCACTGTCCAAGAAGAGTTTTAAAATTTTCATTTGAAGTTACGGGCCTGCGGAATACACTCTCTGATTTAGATTAAATGTTTGCTATTCTGTATCCATTTTTCACTCCTGGTGATTCACAGTTAACTTCACTTTTAAATTATTTCTTCAATATGATATAAAACCTGAATTATTTCTTCAATATGATATAAAACCTGAGTGAATATATTTGTCCCTTGAAATTAATCAAGACATTTTATACCAAAAGGATCAATTATTTATGAAATGGCTACATGTCTTCAGTCTGGCAGGATGGTTTGGTGGAGACTAAAGAATGCAACACTTTTGTTCCTCAAGAGGCTTAGTGTCTGACAGAACCATGCCTATGTTTTAAATGCAATTAAAGTAAAACAACTGCAGCTCAGAGCCTAGGACCACATCTAAAAGCACAAAACTTGAGGGCAGAAAAGTTACTGCTGAATGATAGAGAGACAGGTGGGGTCCAAGGTATTAAAAATCATTAGAATCCCAGTAGAGAACTTTGATTACATAAACTCTTTCACTGCCATCTGTAGGATACCTTGAAGAGTAAAATTTAGGTAAAATTTAAAATAGTTAATATTTTAAAATGTCACTGGTGTGTTTCTTATTAATGAAAACCTGTGTCACTCAATCAAAACATTTATCAATCTAAATTGTTTAATTGTAGAATGTGCTCCTTGACCTATATTTTAATTTGTTAGATTAACCCTCGTCTAGATGGATGTATACGAGGCTGGAATTTGATGAATCAAGGAGCTTCAGGAGTAAAGGAAATTATTCAAGAAAAACAGAATAAACATTGTTTTGTCAATGTGGAGAAGGGTTCCTACTATCCTGGTTCTGGAGTGGCTCAATTTAGCATAGATTATAGTAAGTGGTTACCATTTTATCTCTTTTTTCTCATTAATGACTAAATAGATTTATTGATAAAGAGTGATAACTCTCTCAATAAACTTTACTGAATACCTACTGTATATCAGGAATAACATTAGGTTTATTCAAATTGAATATATATTCTATTAAATTTTTCCCAGTACATGGAAAGAATATAGACAGTTAAATATGCTTACAAATGTGAACATACTTATGTTATTATTGGCATATAACTTGATTAATTTTGGATAAATTCAATGGACTTTTTTTATTGTTCACCAATATCTGTTTTGTTGGGTGTACTGATTAATTCATCAAAATGATTTATCTTAATTTCTAGCAATTCTATTAGATCCTTTTTAAAATATTTCCACTTCTCTGTTGAAATTTCCCATCTGTTCATACATATTGTCTACCTTTCTTTTTCTCCAAGTCTTCAACTTATTAATCCTAATTACTTTAGGATCCCTGTTTAATAGTTCCAATATCTGTGCTATATTTAAATCTGGTCATGTTAATTGTTTCTCAGCTATTTTTGTTTTTTCTTGCTTTCTTCTGTGTGTCATAATTTTGGGTTTCAACGTGGGCATCTAATATAGAACCATTGAGATGGAGATAAATAATATTTATGTCCAGAAATATGCATGCCTTTTCTTTAACTAGATGCTCAATGAGGAGGGTTGGATCAATCTAGTTAAGTTTTGCTGCAGGGCCGGGGAGAGAGAAGGATCAAAACAGGAGGGAATCTGTTCTTATGCAAGGGACTATGGTGATGGTGCACAGGTGAATTGGTGATGGGAATTTTGCAGCAACTACACCTGAAAGGAGACAGCATGCATTGTACAAAAAGAAAGAGAAATATAAAATATATATATATAAATAAAAAATAAAAATAAAAAATATAAAAAAATAAAAGAGTTGAGCTGCATAGGTTTTGTTGTTTCCATGGCTACTATTCAGCTTCCTTTAATAATACCTTGTGCTTAGGGTAGTGGTTGGTTTGACAGGTGATTATTAATAATGGTTGATACATCCAAAGTTTTTTTTTTAAAGATTTATTTATTTATGCATTCAAGAACTGGGGTACAGGCCAGATGTGTGGGGGGTGAGAGGATTCACCAGAGACAGAGTTGGGAAGAGAACAGGCGGATCCACTGAAATACACTGCTGAGGGGAGCAGCCAGCAAGACAGGAGAGGTCTGCTGCGCCATGTGGGTTGCTCCCTGGCCGGGCATCGAACTCATGCTGCATTGGCTGCGGGTAGCTTCACAGGTTAACCCCTTGCGCCACCAGGGAGGCCCTACATCTAAAGTTTTTATCTAAATTCTCAACAAATGGTGTAACATCAGGTGTCTCCCTTGGATTGGAGAGTCTTCTCACTAGATGTCTTCTTGGAGACATCTGTATTTCTTCAGTTTTCTAATTAGTTAGCTGCTCTGCAGCCTCAGCTTTTTTACAGTCCAAGAAAAGTTGTGATTGTGCAGATAATTGGGCTTTTGTTGCTCTGAGGGTGGGAGCAATGCTTTTTCCAGTTTTATACAGTCTCAGAGGAATAGAAAGTCCTGCCAGACTGACCTCAGATTTTCACCTTTATGAGTAATACTTCATGAATATCCTTGGGCAAACATCCTGTATCCTTATGTTATAAATTCTGTAGGTAAGATTCTTAGAATTAGATTATCTTTATTAAAGATTATACAAGTGTATAATTCTTATTATTTGATCAGATCTCTTCCAAAGATGTTTTGTCTGTTTAAACTTCCACCAACAGAACAAGAAAGTTAATGCTTAAAATTTGTTTCCAATCTGAGTTGTAAAATTAAATTTTATAGTTTTAAATATTATTATCTCAATATTGACTGAAGTTAAGAACTCTCCATAAGTATATTAGCTATTTGCACATCTTAATTATCTAATTGAGTTCTTTGTCTCTGGTTTAGTGGTTCATTAATTGAGCTACTGATATTTATAAATGTAGGATGAATCTGATGTGCCTGCTTTAATTATTTCAAATGTTCATTTTTAGCCTAAAAAAGTATTACCACAGTTTTAAGGAAGAATCTTAGAATAGTGCTTTCTGTTTTCCTAATATATATTAATACAATGAGTTTGGCTCTGTTATGTATGTAAAGGAGTTTTAAAAATGCTTTAATTAGGTTAATGACTGAATATAGGAAAAAAATTAAGCCCATGAGGATTGTTTAAAGGAAAAAATCCCTAAGAAGACAGTGAAAATGGGTTACATTGTATCTGACAAAAATTACTTTTATAAATAATTATTTCAAGGCTAGCCTGAAAATGATTTACTTTATAATCAATGCCTAATATTACATCATAATTTCTGTATTTGTGTGTTCGTTTTAATTTGGCTTTGTTAATATCTTGTATTAAATTTACCTATTTCAAAATAATTTATAGATATATTTTTTCTCAGGTGTGAATTAAAGAATTATAATGATAAATATAATAGCATATATGAGGCTAACTGGAAAATATCTTGTCAAAGGAAAATAATTTTCTCTGTTCACCTTCATCCTTTCAAAGCCTCCCAATAACATTGAGGCTTTTGTAATGTACTACTTCCTATTAAATGAAGGAGACTCATTCCAATTGGAAACTATTATTTTTAAAAATCAAACTACTTTGTAAACATACATTCATAAAATATTTCAGTGACTAATGTGGAAACAAAGTAATGGTAGAGACATATAGCACTTGCACTCTAGTATAATAAACAATTAAGCTAGTGATTAAGAGAAACAGGTATGACAAGACTGTTACAGAAGAGCTCCTATTTGAATTTTAAAGTTACCTGCTGACTTGAGAGTATTGCTTTACTATCAAACCATCCATAAACTCTCATATTTATTTTTCTCATTCCCAACCCTTTTAGAATGAAGAGTAGTGGATTGATGGGAGCTCTACCCAAATTTCTCCTTAGAAAAACTAAAAAAAAATTGTTGAATTTTCTCCTTAATATGTACTTTAAAATGTGACTACTCTGAGATTTGCGTATTGGTGAAAATATAAGACAGAGGGAAGAGTTGTTAAAGAACAAATGGAAAATTCATAATAATCTTAAAATACCACAATTCTGAATTCTATTCTAAGAACTGTAGGATGGGGTCTATTATGTGTTCCTTGCCCACATTAAACTTTAAAATTCATTTTGTTTTGACTAGGTTATATAAATCATTGAGAGTGGAGCACTAAAATTTTTAGTAATATGCAAAGATGGTTTTAATATTAGTAAGGACGGGGCCTCCCTGATGGCACAAGGGGTTAAGACACAACCTATGAAGGTGTCTGCAGCCATTGCAACATGTGTTCGATCCCCGCCCGGCCAGGGAGCAGCCCACATGGCGCAGCAGACCTCTCCTGACTCGCCCGCTGCTCCCCTCAGCAGTGTATTTTGGTCAATCTGCCTGTTCTGTTCCCCTCTCTGTCTCTGGTAAATCCTCTTACCCCCCACACTTCTGGCCTGTACCCCAGTTTTTGTATGCATAAATAAATAAATCTTTAAAATAATAATAATTATATTAGTAAGGTCATAAAAATTCCTTCTGGTGCATTTTGGTGCACTTTTGATGTCCATTGATACACTTCTGTTTCTTTGTTTAAAACAGATAACATTTCAGACTCTGAAACTTGGCAGGTAAATGTGACCATGAATATTCGCCCATCTGCGGGTACTGGTGTTTTGTTTGCCTTGGTTTCTGGTGACACAGTGCCTTTCGCCTTGTCCTTGGTGGATTCGACCTCTGAAAAACTTCAGGTGACTATATTGTAAACCTTTATGATCTTAGATTTTTTTATTTGTATAATGGGTTTAATAGCAACATTTACCTCAAAGTGCTTTTTCAAAGATTAAATGGAATGAATTAATGTGAAGTGTTTGGCACAATCTCTAGCACCTCATTAAGGACTCATGTTTATTATTATTACTTTTTGTGACTTATTCCCAAAGACTGAATCAAGAACTAAGAGGGTGAAACTGAAAAGTCTGTTGCAGACATCAAAACAAGAACCTGTGAGACTCACTCACAGGCAGTTTGGAGCCTACCCAGAGTACATAGAGATCCACCCTTACTCAGAATCCTTGCGGTATCATGGGACTTAATCTGTACCAGCAAAATAGAAGTGACCTGATTACTACCTACTCTCAGATATTAGTGCCTAATTATAATGTTTTGTGCTTTCTGGTACACTTAATCTTTTCTACCATGAGTAAATTAGGAAAGACTAGAGAAAACTAAAACCAATCCACTTGGTTTCTTTCTGGCAACTCTGATTTTAAATTAGGAGGAAGAACAGGAAAAACTCTTAGATTAAAGGAAACATGGGACTTATCAGATCTGTATTATTTAACTTTCCATTTAAAGGCTAATAGTTCTCTCCGTGTGTCATGGGTGTTGGATTCCAGCAAGTTGCAGCAAGAAGCTTGCATTTGTGCCAAGGGTGACTTGGGTGCTCTCTGTTGGTTTTTGAAAGAGATGTATAATTGAATAATGCCTATAGTAATAAAAAGGGGTGCTGTTTGCACTGAAAGGATGATTGGGGGTGTTGCTTGTGGTTAACCATAAGCAACCTCAAAAGACCCTGCTGAGTTTTCATCTCTAACCTATCACAGGAGTTAGTTTTTGTTTTGTTTGTATCCTTTACTGTAATACTACATTCGTGCAGTGGAGAAGGTTTAGACATGCTACTGCTATGATAATTATTTTGTCTCTTCTGTTTTTTTGTATGTGGATTCCCCTCTCAAGATGGGTATAGAGTGTTTTATAACATTATTCCACATGCTATTGATCATTCTGAAATATTTTCTCAGTTGACTATCAATAAAACTCAGTGAGTCCAAGGATATGGACATAAATACCATAGCAACAAATTTTCTTAAATTGCTTGTATTTGCAAAATACAGACTTCATTTAACTAGATATCTTAGATTTCTTTTTTTAAAGATCTTTTTTTAAAGATTTATTTATTTATGCATACAAGAACTGGGGTACAGGCCAGAGGTGTGGGGCGTGAGAGGATTCACCAGAGACAGAGTGGGGAACAGAACAGGCAGACAAACTGAAATACACTGCTGAGGGGAGCAGTGGGCGAGTCAGGAGAGGTCTGCTTGGCTTGTGGGTTGCTCCCTGGCCTGCCGGGGATCGAATTCGTGCTACAGAGGCTACAGACAGCTTCATAGGTTGTGTCTTAACCCCTGGCGCCACCATGGAGGCCCTTTTTTTTTTTTTCCAAGGTTTTGATATTTCTTTTTCTGAGTTAATAATGATATATTTTTTTCCAAATTGTGTTTACTGAGGTAAAGTAGGTTTACATCTGTATATCTGCTCTGGGGGTGTCTTGGATTTCCAAGTAAATGCTTCAGACTATCTTTCTACCGTCTGGGAAGCATCACCATGCCCATCTCCTTAGTTTTGGTTTTATTTTCTCTCTTACTTTACATTTCCTCTGTCTCTATATAAGCTATATGCACAGATCATTCTCAATAAGTTGACAAATTCAGTGTAATACCAGTTTGAATATTTCAAAATATATATATATATATTTTTTGAGAATCTTGTTGAAAATATTCTTTTTTTTAAAGGTTTATTAATTTTTGCATACAAGAACTGGGGTACAGGCCAGAGGTTCGGGGTCGGGGGTGTGGTCTAGAGGATTCACCAGAGACAGAGTGGGAGCAGAACAGATGGACCGACTGAAATACACTGCTGAGCAGTGGGTGAGACAGGAGATGTCTGCTGTGCCATGTGGGCCACGCCCCTGGCCGGGGATTGAACTCATGCTGCAGTAGCTGCTGTGGACTGCTTCATAGCGCTGATGCTTAATAACCCCTTGCACCACCAGGGAGGCCCCTGGAAAATATCCTGTAGCTTACTGCTGGAAATCCCAAGTTTTTTTCTTTTTCAGGGCTTCTTCACTCATTTTGCCCCAAGTCTACAGGATGGCTTTTCTCACACAAAAACCCTTTCAGTCTTGCTGGCATGTGCTTGCTAAAGCACTTTAAAATTTTTCAAACTTTATCCAACAAAGAGTGATTCAACTCCTTCCTTTTTCAATGTAAGTTTTGAAGTTAGGAAGCCTTAGAAACAGAATAATACTGCCTAAACACTACTTTAGGTTCTCATTGTTAATAAAACAACTGTTGGTTTATTGAATTTTTCAGAAGCCAGAATGCACTTACATTGTAGCTAAAAATGGAGTTTGTAAAATTAATGCATATTTAAATGCTGTGATTGTAATTGTAGTTGATACTTTTTTTTTCCATCGAAACTTGGAGACTCTCGTATATTTCTTTTTCTTCATTGAAATTTAGTTGTTGAATTTAAAAAACTCACTTAAGAGTTTTAAGTGAGCTTAAGTGACTTTAGTGAAAAGTCACTCTTAAGTGGCATTGCCATTAGTACTTGCTTATATTAAGTCTGTTCTCCTTCTCAGGATATTCTGGTATCTGTTAAAAATGTGGTAGTAGCTCGAGTACAAGCCGTAAGTCTGTGTTCCAGCCAACAAACTCATTTGGAATTCAGAGTCAACAGAAACAATCTGGAGTTGTGGACTCCATTTGAAAAAGATATTATCTATTCAGAAGACCTTCAAAAAGAGCTTGCTATCCTGGACAGAGCAATGAAAGAAACAGTGACGACTTACCTGGGAGGCATTCCCGGTAACTACTTACTTTTTTCTTCAGTTTTGAAAAGTGCATTTTTAATCAAATTTATATAAATTACTTTAGTAAAATGCATCAGAAAAGAAGACAAAATTTCAGTATTATTTTGCTGGGGGCTTGCATCAACATTTTATTGGTACTTTTTATCTATTATTTTGTTAATGGTGAAATAAAAATAATCAACTTTTCTGCATTTGATTCTCCTAACCAGAAAGATTTGCTATTTTACTTCATCCTCATAATTGCCTTGTGAGTTCCATATTCAGTCTTCAGTTCATCCATCATGAACCCAATATTTATTAAGAACATACATTTCAAGAACAAGGGACATAGTAATAAACAAATACATATGAACCCTGGTGTTAGGTTTTTACAATCTGGTGAAAGAGACAGACATTAAACAACTGATGAATAAGATATCAAAATAATTAACATTGTGCTAACTTGTATAAAGGAGAAATGTGGGTTGCTTTTAGAGCCTAAAATGAGGACTTGATCTGGTTGCGGCAAGAACTCTCTGACAACGAGCATAATATATAAATCTAATGTTCGAAGCATTAAACAATAATGGGTAGTAGGAGTGGAGATTGGAGTTTGTATGCAAGTACATTGGTCCATATGTGGGCAAAATGGTAAGGGTTGACACACTTGAAGAATATGTAGAAGATGAGTGTTTTGTAAGCATATTGAACAAGAAGAATGGGAGTGCAAGAGAAGGCTGTGAACTGGGAGACAGAAGGATTTGTAGACCTAGTTTATGGTCCTGAGTTCTATTATGAGAGACATGAAAATCATTAATAATTTTATACAAGGAAGTGATAAATCAATGTTATAATTTAAAAAAAAAACTTCCATGATGGACAGAGATGGACAGGTGAGTTGGGTGTTACTGATGCAGTCCAGGTGAAGAATCAGTAATAACAGTAGAGAGAAATGATAATACCATCAGCGGGAGCATAATAAGCAGTCTGGGCATTGTTCAGAGGACTTTGAATCTATCAACTCATTTAATTTTCAAAATAGTCCCATGAGGTAGTTATTATTAATAGGATTTAATTATTGAAAGACAGGTATAAGGATGATTCTTAAGTATCTGGTGTGAATAGTTGGTGGAGATTACATTTTCTAAGATGGGGAAACTGTGGGAAAAGGAGGTTCATCTTTAACTTAATATTGGAAAATATGAAATTATCCAGACATGAAAGGGTTTCTTACAAAAATGCCTTGAGCCCATAGGAAAGTGTGGACTTTTCTCACTATATTGGTAAGTTAGAGGTGAAAATTTTGAGGTATATATTTTTGCATAAGGGATTGAGGAAGAAGAATAAAGACTGAAGAATATCCATTGGGAATTAAACTTCATAGACAGCAGATGCCAGAAAAGGAAGCAAGTAGAGAAACGGATGTTTTTAAGAGGAATCATGGTTATTTGGAATCCAAGGGTGCTCCTAAGTATTAGGTTTGGTTAAAGAGAATGAAAGTGTAGGAAGCCTCAATGGCTCTAAACTATTCACTGATTCATTATTAAAAAGTTACATTTTTAGACATCAAACTTTGCATAAATGTAAATCTCTTATCATTACCTATCTTTATATGCTCACCCAAGAACTATTTCTTTGGAAAATATGGAAATCTGCTTTCATTCTGGCAATAAATAAAATAAATATTCATTATGGCATTTAAAGATTTCTAAGTAGTTATAATTTAGAGTTGAAAGAATAATTCAATGATGCTTAGACTGTTACTCAAATTTAAAGACAATAATAAAGTAGAACACCACAGGTAAGAACATGTGCTTTTCTACTCTTAAGTGTATAATGTGTTTATTTACTCTAGGCTTGGATGGAATTGATTGTGTTTATGATCAGAGGAACTCACAATATGCTGAACTCAATGCCAAGCACATGCCTTATACACATGAGTCACTTAGTATAAACTTAGTGAATAGAATTACATTGCTTATTTTTCCTGGAAATTAGAATTTGGTTGAAAATGGGAAGTCTGGATAATTCCTCAACAATAAGAAAATAAAATGCTAATATTTTAATGTTCTGCTTTTCAGATGTTCCATTCAGTGCTATCCCAGTGAATGCCTTCTATAATGGCTGTATGGAAGTAAACATCAATGGTATTCAGTTGGATCTGGATGAAGCCGATGCTAAACATAATGATATTAGAGCTCACTCATGTCCATCACTTTGGAAAGACACACAGAATCATTAAGGCATCCTTTTCAGCTGATAATATCTTTTTTCCTGTGTGTAATTATGCTTATGTTTCAATAATAGATGGAGGGTTTTACCTACCATGTGTACACCTTGATTATTTTGTGATGCTTTGACCTTCCTGGAATTTTAAAAAGGTTCTTTAAGAAAACAAAATTCTCTTGTGATATAAAACACATTAAAAAATCTTATCTGTTTCTGTCTAGAAATTAAATAATGAAACCTACAAAGCATTTTAATTTGAATTCTTCTGCTACAAATGACATTTCTTCATTTTGTAAAAGTAAAGTGTAATTTTTATTATCATAAACTAGTGTTTGAATATCTATTTTTCTGGGAAGGTAAGGAAGTAAACCCAAACAAAAATGCTATGACTAAATACTATTTATCATAGTAGATATGACTTTATTTGATTTTTTTTTTTTTCCCGAAAGAAAGCAGACGACACAGTGGCTTATTATTATGAATTGAGCGGAAGGCCTTAAAACTTTGTTCTAAAACAGTTTCTCAGGAGATCAGCTTTAACCTCATTTTTCTTCTACCTGACTTCACATCTAACCGGTAGTTTTAATGAATTAGAAAACAAGTGGAACAAATTTTCATGAGTCTTGCTGAATCTTGAATCTTGCTGGTTAGCATGTGGGTTCAATGAGGATGAGGTAGTGGATTACATCAGAGTGGGTGTGGAAACCTAAATAGTTTAAATTTGGCTGTGTTGGTCACACAATCTCTAGATTAGAAAAGGTAGAATTTAATGATCTAAAGAAAAATTAGTAATGTGGAAGTCCATAGTTTTTTGACCTCAACTTTAACTGTCAGAGTTGCCAGAATGTAATTATTGAAAGACAAAATGATCTTTGAAACTAGAGCAGTGTGTAATCCAAGGATATCTACAAAAGGACACATTTAACACTGTCTTTATAAGAAAGAATGAAGTAATATTGCCACATACTTGTTGGCAGTGCATTTTGAGTGGGAGTTTTATCACTCCCAAACCTATAATTCACATTAGAAATGCATCATGTTTCATTCACAGTTTTAGATAATAAACATTTCCCGCCCTCCAATTTAGGTATTTTACATCTTGTAAAGAACAATGAATTGGTGTTTGTTTTCAAAGTTTATATAATATTTATATTCTATCATCTCTTTATTTTTTTTTTAAGATTTATTTTTATTTCTTTATACAAGCACTGGGTACAGTCAGAAGCGCGGGAGGGTGAGAGAATTCACCAGAGCCAGAGCAGGGAGCAGAGCATGCAGAAGGACCGAAGTACACTGCTGAGGGGAGCAGCGGGCGGCAGGAGAGGTTTGCGCGCCATGTGGGACCCTCCTCCAGTGGCCGGGGAGCAGCCGGGGATGGAACCGGCACTGCAGAGGCTGCAGGAAGCTTCGCAACCCAGCACTCAACCGCTGCGCCACTGGGGAGGCCCTCTATCATCTCTTTAAACAGAACATAAAATTACATATTTTACATGGAAAGTCTTCAGGCAATACAGTAGTTCTTTAGTTGAAAGACAGATAAAGCTTAATTAAATATTTGATGAAATGTTATGGTTGGGCTGTAGACTTGAGTTCAGAAAGAGAAGAAAAGCAGAAGTAAGAAGGATTGGGTTTTTGACACACGCCAGAATTTTGCCATCTTACTGGGTGAAATTTCTCTCCTAGTTACCACCATGTACTGTGGGTAATTACTATCAGCAGGTAACTATTGTTAATTATGTTGGAGTGAATATGAAATAAAAGAAATAATGAAAGTATATCAAAATGAAAAAAAGGAAGGAAAGGAAAATAGGTTTCTTTTGGGGAAGAGTTTTCTGATTCTCAATAAACTATGCCCAGTTCGCATCAGCAACAGAAATGTTCCCAAATGTGTGAACTTCATAGAGGTTCCAGAGATTCATTTATAAATTTCATCTGTTTTACATGTACTTGGTGGGGTGGGAGGTGGGGGTGGAGGAATGTATCTAGACCTGCAGCTAAGAATCTTTCATTTGGGCTTTTATTTTGATCTTTGCCAGCAAATATAGATTCTTATTTTTAAAGAGTTGTTATATGAAAGCCCAATAGGATATTTGGTGCTATTGGAACTTTGTGTGAGAAAAAAAAAAATCCGACTGATATAATTATTACAAAAGTCCCTTAGAAGTTTTCATTTGTAAAACTGGATTATGGCTCAGTAAAAATAATAATTTGTGAGAAAAAGAGTCAGTCACCTCAGATTTGCTCTCTGAAATTATTCTCCAGTCTCTATTCCCATATGTGAAGCTTAGATACGACTTCAGTTTTGTTTTGTTTTGTTTTGTTTTTTCATTCTGGAACTGGAATTATTGCTAGAGAGCGGTGTTTTATTTGGTTTTTTACATTTGTTTCACAATTGCCTTATTTCATTGGGAATTTCCTTAAGTCTAATTTCTGTGGTCAGTTTGGACAAGACTGGGATATTGAAATAATTTTACTTTAGTTTTCTTGATATTGTTATAAGTAATATGGGTTCTGGAGAAGACAGAGCTACTAGAGGGTCTAGGGACAAGTGTAATAAATTTCTATTTAATTCTTTCAGAAAAAATTAATTATCTGTCAAGCAACTACTCTGTGCATGTGGAGCCAAAGGTCAGAGTATGTATTAAGATCTAAGCTCAACTGAATAAGGACAACAATACTTAAGGCAACTTGTGGTAGGCTTCAAACTCCTGTTCTATGGAGTTGCAAAGCAGGTCCTTTCAGTTTATTGAAGAAATCAAAGCAGTGTAATCATTGCTCTTATATTGAATCGTTTGTTCCTTACAAAGGAAAAATGATATAACAGTAATCTTGTACATGGGTTGCTTCAAGTTTTCACAGAGAATTTATATTCGTATATTAGAACTTTTCCTAGGAAAAAGGTCCTCTTTTTTAGGAAAGAGGTCTTGATCAGAGGTTGATATAACAATATACTTTGGTCCAGTCTTAGCTTGTGGCTATCTTATATTCATACTTGCAGGTTGTGAAGGGAGAGGCAGTTATAAGTCAGCATCTTATGAGATTTTTGGGTCCATATCAATATAAAGAATGCAAGGTCAGATTACCAAATCAGGTTGACAGTGAGAAAAGATTGAGACAAGTTGTGAACTTCAGAGGGTCAGATAAAGGGGAATTGAGTGTGAAGAGATTTAGAGAAAGAAGTAGTCCATTAAAGCTGAGAGGCTTTTCCTAGGCCACCATTAGCTACTTCTGCAATACTTTGGACTTGCCATACTATAGCAATTACCTTGTGGATAGCAAGAGCAGCTAGTGAACTTGAAGACTCATTTCTACTAACTCATGTATCATCACAAGTCCACTCCAAACATAATCTTAATTCTATAAGACATAGTTTAATTGAAATTACAGTTTATTGGTGAGAAATCCTCTTCCCTGCTAAAGTTCTAATGATGGAGTCTGAAATCTTATTCTGTACCTGGGTCACCATAGAAAAACTACTGAATAGAATTGAGAGCCCAGAAATCAACCCACACCCATATGGACAATCTATGACAAAAGAGCCAAAAATATACAATAGAGAAAGAAAATCTCTACAATAAATGGTGATGGTAAAATTGGACAGCCGCATGCAAAAGAATTAATCTAGACTACTATCTCATACCATATGCAAAAACTTACTCAAAATAAATAAAAGACTTGGATGTAAGTCCTAAAGTTATAAAATGCACAGAAGAAAACATAGGAAAAACACTCCATGATACAGGTTTTCAGTGATGTCTTTGTGAATTTATCTCCAACAGCAAGAAAAACAGAAGACAATATAAACAATTGGGATTATATCAAACTAGAAAACTGCACAGCAAAAGAAACTATCACTAAAACAAAAAGACACCCTACTGAATGGGAGAAAACATTTGTATACCATACATCTCATAAGGGGCTAATATCCAAGATCTACAAAGGACTCATACAATGCAACAAAAAGAAAATAACCTGATCAAAAATGGGCAGGAGAACTAAATAGGCAGATCTCCAGAGAAGACATACAGGTGGTCAACAGACACATCAAAAAATGTCATCATCACTCATCACCAGGGAAAAGCAAATCAAAAGCAGAATGAAGTTTCTCCAAATATTAAAAATTAATCTACCATGTGAATACAAAAACACAAATTTGAAGGGGTATCTTTATATATATCTATTGTAGCACTATTTACAATAACCAAATTATGGAAGCAACCTAAGTGTCCAAGAACAGATGACTGAAAAAGGAAGATGTGGTATATGTACACATCAAAACACTACTCAACTATAAAAAATGATAAACTCTTTCATTTGGAACATGGATGAAAGCAGAGGGGGATTATGTTAAGGCAAATAGGAGGATAATGACAAATAATGGATGGTGTCATTTATATATGGAATAGAGGGAAATAAAACAATGAGTCAGATAAAGCTAAACCAGTTAAGAAGCCCTAGAAATAAGACTATAGAATCTGACCCTCTGGCAATCAGAGAGAAGAAAGAGGAGTCACAACAAAGTGGGAACCGAGCACAATACACTATGGTGGAGGACTATGGGTGTTTTGGCAGTTGGTGTGGGGGAGTAGTAGCACATGATGGAGGAGATTCTGTACCTCTAAGTCACAATGTTGTAAACCAGTGTTACTCAATGAAAAATAAATTAATAGAAACCTTAGTTCACACTGAAAATATAGTCATTTATTGTTCCTTAAGTAGTTTCCTTTATTTTTCTTTCTCTACCATCAGTACCTCAGTTTCATTATCCTTTAACTAAAACCCTTGAGCTGGATGTAATTTGAAATTAGTTATTTTCAAATGTTAGTAGAGTAATATGTTACATATAATGCATATTTCTTAACACTACCAGGAGTATCTCCGTTATATTTAAATTTGTTCATTTGATTGAACTAGAGAACAGTATAAGAGCTACTAACTTATTTAAAAATATATTGAGTTAACTCATATAAACAGGCAAAGCTATGACACATTGAACTAAGTATATTTTTTCACCACAAATATACTCAGGAGAAAAAAAATGGTTATTTACACAATAAATAAATAAATAAACAAATAACTTTTCTGTCAATTCAGGTAAGGTTTTGCTACCAGAAGACTTAAGTTCAGGTGACTGAATGCATTATCAAAAAACAAATATTTAAGAACTTTTTTTTTTTTTTTTACTTTTGTTTCCTTTTATTTTACATTGAACTTATTCCCTTTCCATAAGTTTTCGTTTCTTCAGTTTCTTCTGCGATATCTTTTTCTTCTGTGCCACCTCCTCTTCTGGTTTAGGAACAATCTGCTCTTTTTCATTAAGGATCATCTCAGTGTGGCAGGGGGAGCTCATGTAAGGGTTAATACGACCATGAGCTCTGTAAGTTCTGCAACGCATCTTAGGGGCTTTGTTCACCTGGATGTGCTCAATGACCAGAGAATCTACATCTAAACCCTTAAGCTCGCCATTACTCTCTGCATTTTTAAGCATGTGCAGTAAAAATTCAGCACTCTTTTTGGGCCACCGACCTTGCGTCCAACCCCACTGTTTGGTCTGGGCACACCTGCCAACGCCACCGTTGTAACGACGGAATGGCACGCACTGCTTCTGTAGAGTGACATCCTTCAGATACTTGGTGGCTTTTCAGATATGCATACCCTTGATGGCCTGGGCAGTTTCACGAGTGTTCTTAAAATGAACACGGAGATTTGAACCTCTTGATTTGCATGACTTTGTAGGGTTTTCTGGGTCAAGTGAGTAGCCAACCATTTTCAGAGATCACTAAGGCCGCATACAGGAAGAGCTTTCAGAACTTTTTTGATTTAAGTTTCTGAATAAATGAATATTAATGATGATGATAACAATATTAAAACACCTTTATTGGAGTCCACTAGTCACTCAGTTATTCTCTATTAAACATTTTAGGTACATGATAATAATAACAAACGTGTTTGCTATATAGTAAAATTTCCTCATTTTATAAATAAGAAAGGCAAAAAGTGTTACCATAATTGTTAAAATTACCTAGACTGGATTTCCACAGTCCATTTTAG